TGTTTGTACTTTATTTTATTTTAGTTGTTCTTATTTTCCCATTACCTATTAGCTTTTATTAAGAAAGACCAGATGAGTAGCGTCTCAGGTCTTAAAAGCCGGTGAGCAGTCAACTAAGATGCTCGACTGGTCTCACCCCTTCGGGAGCAAGGGAGAATGAAGAAAACAAGATACAAGGAAAAGGTTAGTCCCAAGGACTAATGAACCACAACTACCACGGCCTCCACCAGACTGAGTCCAGTACTACTGTGACAGGGATCGCAGCAGAGGGTCCCAGACAGAGCTGGAGAAAAATGTAGAACAAAATTCTAACTCACAAAAAAAGACCAGACTTATTGTCCTGACAGAGACTGGAGAAACCCTGAGAGTATGGCCCCTGGGACATCTTTTAGCTCAGTCGGTAATGAAGTCACTACCGAAGTAGGTTCACTCTTTAGTCAAAGATTAGACAGCCCCATAAAACAAAATGAGACTAATGGGACACAACAGTCCAGGGACAAGGACTAGAAGGCAGGAGGGGACAGGAAAGCTGGTAATAGGAACCCAAGGTCAAGAAGGGACAGTGTTGACATGTTGTGGTATTGTCATAAAACAATATGTGTACTAACTGTTTAATGAGAAATTATTTGTTTGTAAACCTTTGTCTAAAGTACAATAATAAAAAAAAAGAATTAAAAAAAAAAGAAAGACCAGAGAATTCATGATACATATTGAGCAAACTGACAATTTTTCATATCAGTGCATGGTATTAACGATTCACAAAGAGGAACCAAATTAGAGCTCCAACTAACACTTTGTTGTTTGGAAACAAACACACAAAAACTGCAGTCTTAAGTAGGCAAGAGTTTTAAGTTCAGGAAGGTCAGCTAAATCAAATAGGAGCAGATAATAAGGAAGAGCCTGAAGACTGGGGCATTGGGCTCAACAAGAGTTGTTTTCAACTGCAGAATTTAACTCAGGTCCTAGGGCAAAGATCTTTAACTTTTTTTTTTTTTTTATCATTTAATCTACGTACTGGGGTGGGGGGGGTGGTTCCGAAGTCTGTGTATGTGGTTGTTGTTATTTTAGCTGCTTCCTAGGCTGCCCCAATTCATGGTGACCCCAACTCATGGCGACCAAAAGCCCAATGGGATCAGACCATTGTGATCCATAGGGTTTTCACTGGTTGATTTTTGAAAGTAGATTGTCAGACCTTTCTCCCTATTCTGCCTTCTGCAAGCTCCACTGACATCTGTTCAGCAACATGCAAGCCCCAGTTACAGACAGGTGATGGCTACACTTGAGGTGCACTGGCCACAAATTGAACTCGGTTCTCCTCCGTGGCAGGCAAGGATTCTACCACACAACCAGCACTGCTCTCCAAATCTGTAGTGAAGGATGTTTAAAAAACGTCAGCAGTTTAGGCTCAGCTGTGAACTTCTTGAAAGGAAGAACCATATCTCTTTCATTTCACTTGCCCAATACACACAATGTTGCCAAATGAACTGAACGAATGTTTAACAGCTATGGCTGCTAACAAAAAGATCTGCAGTTCGAATCCACCAGCTGCTCCTTGGAATTCCTATGGGGCAGTTCTACTCTGTCCTATAGGGTCGCTATGAGTTGGAATCAACTTGAAGGTAATTTTTTTTTTTTTTTTTTTTGTCTATTCAGCAAATGTTGTTACAAGGAAAAGAAGTCTTCAACTCAAATTTTGCCCAAAAGTGGAAACTCTTTTTGGTAAACAAACAGGCACAGAAATAATCACAGACTCTTCTGTTTTTTTAAGAAACCGTATTCTCTGCCTTGGGCGATATGAACGTTCACCACTGCAGACATAACAGTCTGATGGCAGGAACAGATACTTTGGGCAATAAGGTCCTTTCTGAAGCAGCCGGTAGCAGAATGTTGGTGCTCTTAACCTTGACTGCTGTCCCAATGATATTAGACCACTGGGCTTGTCTGCTTTTTTACATCTCCTTTACTGAAGGATGATAGGACATGAACATTGTTCCTAAAAAACAAAAAGAAACTAACAAAACCTATTTTGAGCACCATTCATTTCACCAATGACAAGATATCTCTAAGGACCATTATATTACCTAAAAAAAATCTTTCATTTAGATTTTTGATAATACTAGAAGTAATAAGTAGTCAGCTTCTGGAATGTTCAGACATTATATAAGTATTTGAAATGCTACTTAACTGAACACAAGGTATAAAGTCATACAGTTATTACCTTATTTATAGCAGTTTTTATTTTTTAAATAGTTAATTACTCCACAGTCAATATTATAACACACTACATCCATTTTAAAAAACATAAAAATGCATGGGTCACTATATAAACATTTGAATGATGAATGAAGAACTTCCTTCTTGATCATAGTGGATATATAGCGTAATCATTTCACATTTTTTAAAGAATGCCTTAAACATATAGGTAATCAAAATTTCAACAATTATTTTTGATTTTTCCATTTGCTTGATGAACAAAGCACTTACGTACTCAATTTCACTGTTTTTAAGTTGGAGGAAAAATAATATTTATAACCACAATTTTTGTGAGGAAAGAATGATGAAAATATTCCTTATTACTTGAAAAGAGCAGTACCAGTAAAGGCTTACTATTAAAATAAGAATTAAACATTAATTTTTCTGGCATTGAGACATTTTTATCTAAATTTGGAAGTGGAAAACATACATAAGATTTCCACAGAGGACATTAAAAATCCATAGGCTTATTACAGAAATGTGGAAGGAACGTGTTGAATTGTTCTCTGTCCAGAAAAATATGTTGAAATTCTAACCCTTGCACCAGTGAATGTGACCTTGTTTGGGGAAATAGGGTTTTTCTTACAGGTGTTCTCAATTAAGTTAATGAAGTCATACTGATGTAGGGTGGGTCCTAATCCTAACCCCTTCTGAGCAACGTCTTATGAAAGAGAAGGAGAGACACAGAAATAGAGTCACTCACACACGGGGAGGACAACATGTGAGGATCTGGCTACAAGCCGAGGAATGCCAAGAATTGTCAGCAGCCACCAGAAACTAGGAGAGAAGCTTGGAACAGTTCCTTTCTCAAAGTCCCCAGAAAGAATTGAAGCAGCTGAGACCGTGATTTAAACTTCCAGACTCCAGAACTTTGAGAAAATAAATTTCTGTTCTTTAAAACCATCCACTTTATGGTATTTTGTTGTGGCAGTGCTGGGAAACTGTGACAGGAAGTTTAATAACAGCCTTACTATACTAATTTCAATGTTCTTTGGTCTGGCTTAGTAAAGAGTTTCTTTGGTGTATTTCAAAATATTAGCCTGAGAAAGAAATGAGTTTTATATACAATTTTTTTTATATTTCTATGTTGTTATATTAAATGAAGCTTAAGCAGATAGTAAACATCTGTATACCTAACATTTCTTTCAAAAGTAAATACTAACTTCAAACATTTTTATTATTCATATTAAAACTTAAAATTATTTGTCATTCTCAACACTTTGTTATGAAGGAGCCCTCGTGGCACAATGGTTAAGCTCTTCGCTGCTAACTGAAAGGTCAGCATTTCAAACCCACCAGCCGTTCCACTGGAGAAAAGACCTGGAGATCTACTCCTGTAAAGATTACAGCCTAGGAAACACTATGGGGTAGTTCAACACTGTCCTATAGGGTTGCTGTGAGCGGAAATCAACTCGGTAACACATAACACCAACAACATGCTTTGTTATCGATGACAAATACCTATATCAAATTAAAACATACCTATATCATACCTGAACCTTTGAAGTTAAAGTATGAGTTCTACTTTCCAATAAGCAAAAAAAAAGTAGTTTGGAATGGCTCCAGTATTTAGCAAGTTAGGCTGATAAGATTCCAAAACCTATATACTAAGTCTGACTAAGGATAGTCAGCCTGGTTTAATTTTGTAATTCATGGTTAGCTGCCCCAATCCAACAAAATGAGACATAGCACTGATTATAATTTGTTGTTTTTTTGTTTTCTGAAATATAAATAAATGAGTAAAGATTTTTATTGAAATCAATTTTTTTTTTTTTTTAGGTGTGCTTTAGGTGAAAATTTACAGCTTAAGTTAATTTCTCATACAAAAATGTATACATATATTGTTATTGGACCCTAGTTGCAATCCCTGTCATGTGACACCACACTCCCCCTTTCCATCTCTGGTTTCTCGTGTCCATTCAACAAGTTCCTATCCCTTTCTACCTTCTCATCCCGCTTTCAGACAGGAGCTGCCCATTTAGTCTAGTGTATCTACTTAAACTAAGAAACACTCTCTTCATGAGTATTATTTTACGGTTTATAGTCTAGTCTAATCTTTATCTGAAGAAAGGGCTTCAGAAATGATTTTAGTTGTGGGTTAGCAGAGAGCTCAGGGGCCCTGTCTTCAGGGGTTCCTCTAGTCTCAGTCACACCATTAAGTCTGGTCTTTTTACATGAATTTGAGTTCTGCACACTTTTCTCCTGCTCTGTCAAGGACTTTCTGTTGTGTTCCCTGCCAGGGAACCCATTGGTGGTAGCCAGGCACCATCTAGTTCTTCTGGTTTCAGGCTGATGAAGTCTCTGGTTTATGTGGCCCTTCTGTCTCTTGGACTAATATTTTCCTTATGTCTTTGGTGTTCTTCATTCTCCTTTGCTCCAGGTGGACTGGGACCAATTGATGCATCTTAAATGGCCACTCGCAAGTTTTTAAGACCCCAGACACCACTCACCAAAGTGGGATGCAGAACATTTTCTTAATAAACTTTGTTATGCAAATTGACCTAGATGTCCCTCAAACCATGGTCCTCAGACTCCCGCCCCTGCTACTCTGTCCCTGGAAGTGTTTGGTTGTGTTCAGGAGACTTCTTAGCTTTTGGTTTAGTCCAGTTGTACTGACTTGCTCTGTATTGTGTGTTGTCCTTCCCTTCTCCTAAGATAATTCTTGTCTACTATCTAGTTAGTGAATCCCCCTCCATTCCTCCCCACTCTCGTAATCATCAAAGAATGTTTACTTCTGTGTTTAAACAAAAAATACAGAATGCTTCACAAATTTCCATATCATCCTTGCTCAAGGGCCACTGTAATCTTCTCTGTATCGTTCCAATTTTAGTATATGTGCTGTCAAATCGAGCACTGAAATCAGATCATTTAAGGTTGATAGAAAAAACCATTATTTTGCATTAATGCAACATAGTTTTACAATAACGACAGTTTGCATATGATTATATAAAAATATATCAATAGAATAAGTATTGAATTTTTATATTAGTCATTGAAATTTGAATATATTTTACTGAGGAATTTAATCAATATCAGATGTATATATAAAATAAATTCACTAAAAATATAATGTGAATCTTGACTAAACAAACCTGTGCATCATATATTTAGCAAAAAATAATAAATTTGAAGATATAATCATACAATTTAAAAATATCTTTTACTACTTTTTATACTTTTTTTTCAGTTTTACTATAACAACCTCTGTGTGTTTTTCTAACCTGATATTTTGCACTGACATTTTATACTATTATTATTTTTTTTTCTAAAACAAATCTCAACTTAAGGAGCATGGTTACTTGGTATCAAAAATGGACTTTTTCATGATTACCAATTATTGTTACTTACATGTACCAAAGACTCCCTGATTGGAGTAAATGGTTAACATTTTCAGCTACTAACTCAAAGATTAGCTCTTTGACTTCACCCAGAGGCACCTTGGAAGAAAAGCCTGGTGATCTACTTCTGAAAAATCAGCCATCAAACACTGTACAGCACAGTTCTAGTCTAACACACATGAGGTAGCCATGAGTTGGAATCTACTCTACAGAAAATGGTCTTTTAAACATACCAAAGTATCTTTTTTTTTTTTTAAAGAAAAATATTTTTTATTTGTATTTACCAAATTTGCATCTTTGGTATTTTTTAATTTAGTTTTTTTTTTTTGCTTTACAGTAGTACAAATATTGTTTTATGACATTGGTTAACAACACCACAACATGTCAACCCTCTCCCTTCTCAACCTTCTTTTTCTTTTTTTGGTGAAAATATACATAGCCAAAGATACACTATTTCAAAAACTTCTACATGCATAGTTCAGTGACATCGACTAC